GTTGTCCAACTCGAAAACAGGACGCCCATTATCGGACACGAAAAAATAAATATTGACGTCATTGGGCCCGTACGATATGCCTTCATGACGTTCTTCTGTTTGTTTATACATTTCTCGTCACGCGTTTTGCTTTTATTTCGCTTGTAAAAGTTCGTATCTTGGTTACCGAAAATGTCTGCAACAGTAATCGGAACCCATGGAACCGCCACATGACCGTGAAATGTTTGTGTTAAGTGCACCCATAGGATGCTATGGCAGCGGTACCGTGATGGAAACATGTGACCGCGAGAAAATTTCACCAAAGACACATTGTGGGTGGTCGCTGAAGTTCTCATCAAAAATAGACTTACGTCCTCGTAATACTTGACCGTTAGAAGGCGCACACACACACACACACACACACACACACACACACACACACACACACACACACACACGCACACGCACACGCACACACACGCACGCACGCACGCACGCACACGCACGCACGCACACACACACACGCACGCACGCACACACACGCACACACACACACACACACACACACACACACACACACACACACACACACACACACACACACACACACACGCACGCACGCACGCACAAACACACGCACACGCACAAACACACACACACACGCACACACACACACACACACACACACACACACACACACACAAACTAAACCGATATTTTGTGATTTTTTTTACGTTTCACACTACCTCATAATTTGTTTTGAATGCATTACAGAGGTTCTTCGTCATTGCGTTCCCTAGCTTTTACGAAGTGGTTCATTTGTGTATGATTAGCTTAGCTGTACTTTAGGAATTGGTCTCTTTGTTTAAATTTATTACGTACGTGTTGGTTTACCAGTGTCCCTTTTTACCCTCATCCTCCCTGTCTCCCGTTTCACCACATAAACCCTCGTGTACCAGATGGTCGATATTTTCCCGGAGCTCTACACTACGGCGTACCTCATATTTATACCGTCGTTTCGGGACGTAAAACCAGAAAGATTACAATATTATTAATACATAAGTTTTCCAATCCTAGTTGTGGAAGACAAACCACCTGACGCCTTGTTAAAGGCACCTTGAAACCGTTTTTTATTGTTTTGTCAGCGTTTAGGCTAGAACATTATCAAACCATTCGCATTATAAATTTAGTGACACGCCGTTTACCATGGCTCCTACGGACAATTTTATGATACTCTCCTCCTCCCCTCTACCTGGCCTCCTTAACTCATAAGGCCCGCTGGAATAATATATCCAGGATCGCAAGCCGACAGGTGTCGCGCTTTTTCGAAGGCCATCACACAGTGCACCCGGCTGCACGCATGCCACCTGGCAACCGAGATAAAGATCACGGAGTGGTTTATATGTGCTCCGACAGGTGCCACCACCCTATCCGTCAATATTACTTCCGCGGATCCTACAGACAGTCACAGCCAATCAGATCAGCAACCACGGTGACGTCAAATGGTCAGATCATGTCGCTCTGTGAACAGGTGGTTGAAAATCCGTTTGGCCGAGTCGCAGTGATCTGCACCATCTGCAGCGATTCGCAGCTTTAAAGCGTTGTAATAAATTACACATTTTACGCAGAGAGCTCAAATCAGACTCTAAATTACCCTTAGGACTTGGTCTACCAGCCCAATGTGTTTGTACAATATCGCCGAAACCGTTTCAAGGTTCCTTAAACCTTGGTGACTCTGCTTGCACCTCCCTCTATGTATGCCTTGTTTTTTTATTTTTAGGAATTGCTTGTGTTTTTTTATGTTTCTCAGGTGTTATTTATTTATTTAGTGTAATAACGCGTGCTGAAACCCTAGTAGGAAACCCCGGGCAAAATTAACGCCACATCACGATATACTTTCAGTGCCAAAAATGACGTCACATCAGCCTTAAAACAGCAAAGAATAAAAAAAGTTATTTAGGTATATGAAGGTGCTCGATGGGCCGAGTCTGCTTTCGTCGCAGTAATTGAGTTCGAAGCCGAAAGCGTTAGAGAAGCCCACTATTTGTTTCGGTATTTTACGAACGGCGCAGATTTCTTTTTTCAGCATAGAACGTGCGTGTACGTGATCGGTAATTACCTCGTGAACACACGAAAAAAATATCAAGGGCTTGGTTATTTATTTATAATTCTTTTTTGACGGAGGAGATAGCTGAGACAGCTTAGACTAACGGGCACACTCAATGCTTCATTTTCGTCCACATTTTAAACTTTGCAAGAGGGTACTATTAATGAACATGAACACAGCTTCTACCACAGCGAGTTACACGTGATTAGGTGAACATGCTTAGTAAAACGAAAACTTTCAGAATAAAGTGAACAAACTGGCGCTGCTGTAAGATGCATGAGACGACTACGTACCGAAACTATAATTTGCTTATTTTTAATAATTACTTGCCGCAGCTGGAAGTGCCCGTTAAGGCTTCTGCATCGCGTAACCCTGTATTTCGTCTCGATGAGAAACAAAGTCAGGGACGCGCTTCTTTATTATGCGCTGCGCGAGGCATAATGAATACCTGATGAATTCCGGCGTATGCAGGTGCGAGGCTAAATGAGCATGCAAATTTCACATTAGCCTCGGCATTACCTCCTTACTTGTTCTTGTCATTACGCTGTGTAGTACATGGTGTATGCAGAAATATTTCGATCACCCGTACTTAGGCTATGATATACGCGTTCAATTTTATGCGCTAAAGTTGCTTTTCTCAAATAATTCACGCCTACCGGAGAGAGAGGTAATATATCAAGTGCTCGGAGGCCAGTTTTAAGCGTATTCGATTTTTTACGCGAGGGATGAATAAAATGAAATACAGAGAAATGGCGCAGTGCTTGCCTCAAGCAGACCCTTCGCAGATGAGCATGTGCGTCAAGTTAGAAAGAGAAAGATTCCGAGGGAAGACACCTTGCAAAAAAAAAGAGACAAAAATTGATTAAACTTTTTAGTACATAAGCGCAAAGGGGCGGCTAGTTCTTTAGCGCGTACGAGTTTGTTCTGTAGAGATATAGAACCTTTTTGTTGTATAATAATATATTTGCCAACACGAAGGATGAAGGCTAGGTTCTTTCAAGAATTCATCATTGGTCAACGACAGAACCGCTATTAAGTTTGTTGTAAGAAAATAAATGCTTGTATTTTCGCCATTGATTATTGTTTGCGAGTGTTGATGGCACCGTGCAATGAAAGTGATCTCTCTCTCTCTCTCTCTTTATATATATATATATATATATATATATATATATATATATATATATATATATATATATATATATATATATATATATAACCCACCACGTCTAGAGGCTGCGTCATGAACTAGGGGACGTGGCGTTTGCTGACGCCACCAACGTACGAAGCGGGCAAGCCGACAGTGCCAGTTCCAGTCTCTCTAGTCTAGACTGGTTCATCTCCCCCTACGGTTTGCAGGACAGGTATGAACAGCACCGGTAGCGGACAATGATCCCGGCTGGCACAAATAATTGGCGCTTTTGTGGAAGGGGAAGCATAGGATTAAAAGAGAGGTGGCGAATTGGACAGGACCATCAGCACCCGGCGTGCGCCACGGCGATTCTGACGTCATGGCTCATGGTCGCATGCAGCCCCCGCGCCCTGACAATCACGCCAAAAGACAACCAACTACCAAAAAATACGGGAAATTAATTCTGTCTATCGGAACAGTCACATCTTTCGAGTAGAACTTTGGAGTTTCGTCTGTTTTTCTAATCGTTGCTCAGTATCCCTTTGAATTGCCATAAAGTTGTCATATCATTATGCAACTCCCAGTGTTTTTATCGATCATTCATACCTCGTAAATCAGCAGAATGGAACCATATACCCGAGGACATATAGAATATTACTAATAACCATCTTTTCCGTCAAGCATTACTTAATTTCGTATAATTAAATGGTGTACAATGCATCAGGTTATGTATATTTATTATGTTCATATTGTATTGAAGTCGTTGTTCTTACACAGCTAATATTATATAATGAGGAGTCTTTGTTTGCTGACTAACTTATTTTCATGCTTTATTTTATTCCTTTTATACTTGTAACCGCTCCACTCTATAATTCCACATGGTCTTGAGGGTAAACAAAATGAAATAAAATGAAATGTGCATGAACACAAACCAGCACAAATGAGGGCACATTCCAGGCTGACAACATGACCTGGTAGGGCTGGCGACCCCTCCTGCAGAGAGCGTTTCGAGTGCATAACGGGGTTTGTTTCTTCAGCCGCGTATGGATGAATGAACATAACTTTCTTGTAAGAAAGTGAACGTGGTTGGGACCTTAGACGTCCGGGAGCCCCCTGGCCGACATTTCTAGACAGGCTCAGTCCACGAGCTTCCGCTGGTCGACCAAGGAAGTGACCCGAAGAGCGGCTTCTCACGAGGAAAGGAAAAGGTTGGAATAGGGTCCACCGTCAGGGGCATCAGGCAGCTCCACAAACAGCGCTAAAGGCGATCGGCTTCCGCCCTCTCACTGTACGAGCGGGACGTTTCCGGACTTCTGAGTTGTATCCGACTAAATGCACAGTACATGATGCATTTATTGATATTTCACGCCCCGCCGTTGTGGTCTAGTGGCTAAGGTACTCGGCTGCTGACCCGCAGGTCGTGGGATCGAGTCCCGGCTGCGGCGGCTGCATTTCCAATGGAGACGGAAATGTTGTAGGCCCGTGTGCTCAGATTTGGGTGCACGTTAAAGAACCACAGGTGGTCAAAATTTCCGGAGCCCTCCACTACGGCGTCTTTCATAATCATATGGTGGTTTTGGAACGTTAAACCCCACAAATCATCATACATATTTCACCCACATCTAATGTAGCCTGCCACCACCAGGAGTCAAACCCAAGGTTTAATTTTGGTTTTTCTAACGTAACAGCCTTTAAGCCGAAACATCCAGTCTGAAGCGATTCCCGGCAAGAATCAAACGAGTACGGCCAGCGTTGCATGCATAGAGAGGGTCACGTCCAACTCACCGATGACCTTGAGGTTGATGACGGTGTTCACTGAGCGTGCCTTGCGGAAGTCGACGCGACAGCGATACTCCCCGGCGTCTTCTTCCTCGACGGGATCGAGCTGCAGGAAGGCGGGTCGGTTCATCATGTTGAAGTACGCTCGGGCGCCCAGCTCGCTCACGGCCGATTGGCGCGCCTGGTCCACGTGACCGCGCCGGGCGTCCAGAGTGTAGATGGGCGCGGGGCCTTCGTCCTTGTACCACAGCACCAGCGCCACCGTGTCGTCCGCGGACGGCGGAGTGATGTCGCACGGCAGCGCCACTTTGCCCCGAATCACGGCCGTGTACAGGATAGATGCTGCATGAGAACGGAGAAAGAACAATACAATAAGTTTTGAAACCAAGATTTTTCATTGTTTTACAATTTAGATAGCTTAGGACAACACTTCATATTTAGATATTGTTTCCCGACACTGGCTCTTGACAATATCCTCAAAAAGCTTCCACACGTAACATTCCTCCTAAATTTATTTGCACCAGCCATGTTGTTATCATACTGACTGTTGGCATGAATAGCCGGTGGCGTATCTCAAGTCATTGAGAAGTTTTGTTAGTACAGGCAACATGACCTCACTTTTAAATGATTCGTTTAGCTGCTCAATAGCTGTTCATTATTTGCTAGCGTGATGCCATTCATTGTTATGACCTGAATTGTGTGATTGGAGCAATATTTGTATGTCACGAGAATTGGAGAGCTTTAGAAAGTACATCTGAACATGTGCTTCTGCAGGAATAATGCAAAAGCTTTTCAATCTTTGCGATATGGGCACCACAGAGGACTTGCCTCCACTGGTTCAGTAAGTGAGTTCAGTAAGCGTCATTGAGAAAGGCGACGAGAAGTAACCATCTAGCTCACCCCGCCACGGTGGTCTAGTGGCTAAGGTACTCGGCTGCTGACCCGCAGGGCGCGGGTTTGAATCTCGGCTGCGGCGGCTGCATTTCCGATGGAGGCGGAAATGTTGTAGGCCCGTGTGCTCAGATTTGGGTGCACGTTAAAGAACCCCAGGTGGTCTAAATTTCCGGAGCCCTCCACTACGGCGTCTCTCATAATCATATAATGGTTTTGGGACGTTAAACCCCACATATCAATGAATAACCATCTAGCTCAGCTTTGCGACGTATTACAACTTTAGAAGTTCAAGGCAATCTTCGCAGTGACAGCGAAACGAATGAGAAAGAGATTGAGATGAATGGCTGTTTTAGTGGATTGAATATAGTGTTGACTATGCAGTTATACCACGGTAAAAATTATGGAATGCCTCTGATGACCTGTTGTGTTGTGCTATGATAGAGAAAGTGGGGGGGTGTTGAGTGCCTTTCTATTACTGTCCTATTATATAGAGGCAAAGTGCAAAAGAGAAACTAATTTTCATGCATAATCGTTCGTGCATTGGACATCAGCCCCCTTCAAAAAACTGTTTGAGCATTGTGTGCTGTCATTATTTCATTGGCGTGACGCTCGTGCGTTTGCAGCATCTGCTTACTTTCTACAGCACACGTGGCAGTTGCTTTGAATTACCAAACTTAACCTATCTTTCGACAGCTCGGATTTCGAGTTCAAGGGCAGTAACAGCGTGTTTGCGGCTGAAAGGCGCAGGAAAATTTGTCAAGGGAAGGCGAAGGGTTTGGTTCTATTAGACCTGCCCGGAATCACATAAATCACGCCACTAGAAACATTTTCAAGCGTACACTTTAACCAGTTAAATGAAGCAATGTCAACCATTGCCCCAGCTTGAACTCTCGGTACGACCGGAGCAACGCCGAGCCATCCACCCCAGAGACCAAGATTCTGACGAATAGCACATGTACTGCGTATTTCGCGAGAGTAGTATAGAGAATCAGCGTTTCACAGAAGGCCTTCCGCAGGACGTCATTTGAAGAATTGCTCTTTATGTTGACTCGAAGCGAATTTATTTCCCCCGGGGTGGCTGCGGAAGGTCATCTCCTCCAATCTTTCAAACCCGCCTTAAATAACATCTTGCGTCACCCTTCCAAGTCGCCCAAGGTTCCACGAAGAATAAAATTGTCCAACAGTTTTAGAAACCACGTGCCTGTAGCAGTTGAGAAACCATCAATGATTGAGTACTACTTGCTTCATGTGAGTGGCCGAGTGTCTTCTTTGACCACGCGCGGCGCACGGATGAAACGGAGAAAAATCGATGAAGTCAGTTCGCCACTGGCCTGTTCTATGGGAGTCAGTGTCTCGCAGAAAAGAACTCGTTTGATTTACGTACGTATGCGCATACAGTTTCCTAAAATACACTAGAGGAAACTCTGGTGCTAGTGTCTAATGGAGCTGCAACGCACGGCGCTTAAGAGAGCATGGGAATGATGGGTAGTGCACACATTTGTCTAATCTGCGTACTTCTGGCCTGCTTTTGACTCCCTGTGTGTTCGTGTGGCTTGGAGCTGTTTTCTCACAAAACAAAAATCAAGCAAATGTTCAGATGTTGCGCTTCACCACCTTATTCTATTAGTCTTCCCTTTCCAAATCGGGTCACCAAGTTCAAAAGGGTTGAATCTTTCTTTCAAAACAAAATCGAAACGCAGCAATAAACGACGCCGCAAGTACGATTAGCCGCCCGCAATACGAAGACTGGGCAAATGTGTGTACTGCCCATCATTTCCATGGTAGCTGAACGATCGCAGCGACAGAGTCCCCTCTAGTTAAATTGAGGAAACTCCATGCGTATGCGGACGGCTCCCTTACTTACTTTTTGTTATTTAACGCTTAGAACGAGGAGCGAGTAAGATTCTCGGGTCCATGGCCAAGTGAAAGATCTTGGTACATTAGCGTGTGATCGCCAGATCAGTTTTTGAATGAGTTTCAAATATAAAAAAAGAGATACCAAGATAAGATTAAAACCATTATTCGCATCCTCAAATACAAACACGTGTGCATGTTCCCCGTGCTCTCTAACTTATGCAACCTTTGCGCTTGTGGTCATCGGAGGTTTGCTTGATAGCGTAGCCACTAGGAGGCAGCTTGCAAGCGTCCGATGTGCTGTGTGATGAGTGCGATACGAGTGCTTCAGTCACTTGCGGTCGCTTCGTGCGTGTGAACATTTATGACGTGTGAACTCTCTGGTTGCGTGAATGGTTGGGTAGCCTGGGATTACGTGTGTTAGTGTCGATGCATTTGAAAGTTCGTTCGGATTTTTTAACGTTGATAACATCACGATGATATCTAATATGTAAAAGAAGGAGATTAGCCAGAGTCATGCATAGACACCAGTGATGTATCACTTGGCTAAGCTTCAATATGGGATAGTTGGTACGGCATTGTAATGTAGTTGCCCTGTATTTCGTGCAGCGCAACTACGTCACCATGTACCGGTGTTTGTAATCAACAACGTGTGTTTCTCTCTGCATTTGCAAGAAGCTCCTCAACCGATTTGTAGAATACATTTTTGAATGCGCAGACCTCCCATCTTTTTTTCGAGAAAGACGATATCAGTAAATAGAAAAGACAGGTGCAAACTACGGTTTATGCGATTTGCGTTACATCTTGGCCTTAATATTAAATACCACGTAAAGAAAGCTTCAGTACACAAGGTAATGATATTAAAAAGCCATAAAGACACCGCCATATGACAAATATGTACCTAACTGATAATGTTTTAAGCCATTAGCCTCCAGAAAATGATCAATAGAAAATGATGAGCAATACATCCGCGGTCATATCAAGAGGTAGTACTATCTGCTCCTTGAATAGGGTTCAGGTCAGAGTTTAACGAAAGTAGAAGAAATATATTGCCTTTAATGCTTCTTTGCAATGATGATATAACCATAAATGGAAATGCTAATAAGTGGGTACTTAAATAGCAACGACGAGAATAAAAGCAAGACCTTTGATAATATTGAATAAAAAGAAAGTCCTCTCGACTCTCGATGGCTTATATTTCACTATTCGATCTGCTCTCAGGCCTAAAATATTCTGTTACAAATACGTGGCGATATCAGTTATCCCAGCGGAGGTAACACGAGACCGCTGATATGGAAACGAAGTGCCGCTCCTGTAAGCTGTTTCAACCTCGGGTTCTATGTCTCCACAAAGCCGAAGTCTTCCTTGCGTCGGTGGCGCCTGTGGAGGGGTCAAGAGAAACGGGAAACTGCGGTGCTTTGTTTTTTTTTTCTAGAAAAAAGAGGGGGAGAGATATGTATATTCCGAAGCCTACATTCATTATAATGCAACAAAAGCTTCTCGTGTGGCTTCCCCAAGCTTTATATGGTATTGAATAACTAAACGTATCCGAGAAAACTTCTGTTTAAAACCTAAAAGTTTGAAATTTTTATTGAAAATAATCAATATTAAAATCTATCCTCTCACCCACCTGACATTTTCTCACTTTACTGTTAGCATGCGTTGAAAGATTCCTTAGAAAATTCTGAAGTGTAAGGTTTTCAACATAACAAATTTCACGCAAAATGTGGTGATCTGCTTACAAATTTGTCTCTATAAAAAAAAAGTTATACACAAAGGCAGCGAATATTCGCATTAGCCAGAGGGGCGGTTTTGTTCGTGAGCTGATGAGAAAGGCAAAGTATAGCTGCATGACAGTTGGCTATTTTTACAGAGCTCATAAAGTGCTGCCATTTGCACTTATACTGAAAAGCACGAATGAAAGCATACTACAAATACGCGTTTGCCAATTTGAAACATTGTCAGACACTTTGATTTACGCTACCTTCTAACATAACTCTGTTGTAAGCTATCTTGTTGAGTTTAAGGACATGAACATTTGCAATGGTAGGTGAACGAAAAAAAAATAAAGAAAAAGAAAAAGACGGGCGCTAACACCCGTACTTGTGACGCTTTAGTGAGACAGGCATAAACAAGGTTGTTTCAAAAGAAGCAGCTTTTTCTATTTCTGTATTAGTTAGAAAACCGAGAAAACTGTTTCCGCTGAAAGGAATCGCTACTTCAATGTTATAAATTTAAAAGAATGAATTTAAACAGCTGCCGGCATTAAATTACTAAAAAATTACCACAGCAAATGCGTGTAACGCTCAGAAAATATACAGGTGAGAGAAAGGTCACAAAACTACAAAAGCAATAACAAAGTACACAACTACGCTCACCGGTTCTTAGTTCCCTGCAGTTAATGTTAGACCAGTAACAACGTGATCGAGAACGTTATGTTATCTTACAGTTTGAAAAATAATTGGAAACGTCCGACAAATGCAATGGGCAAACGTAAAAGCGTAATTCACTTACAGTGTTCAGTTTTTATTATTCAGATCACTCCGACTCGAAGTGAATCGTACCAAGATGCCTCTGAGAGAAACAAAAAGGTGCTTGCACCCTTACCCGATACCGTTTCTTGAAATTTATTTCCAAATCTTGAACTCACTATAATAAATCTAATTTTTTAGGAAAATGGTTCTGCCTAGACTGCGAAGTGTGGCAGTTTGGGCTAGTAGGTATGACTTGACAATAGTTATAGCGCGAGAACAGAACGATAACAAAGAGACAATAGAGAGAGAGAAAATTTAATGCGGAAAGGCAGGGAGGTTAACCAGAAAACATATCCGGTTTGCTACCCTGCACTGGCGAAAGGGTAAGGGGAAAGGGAGGAAGAGAAGCACAAACACACATACACACACTGGCACACAGTAGTGTCACAATCGTTCTACGAGGCGGGTCGCTCGCAGAAACTTCATCAGCGCCTTCGTTGCTTTCTGGCGTGAAGCTCGATCTTTCCGACATTCCAAGATTGACTGCTCAGAAAATGGCTGGTCGTCGAGGCGAGCAAACACTGCTGAGAGGGACTGTCGCTGAGAGCTGTACTGGGGGCACTGACATAAAATATGTTCAATTGTTTCGTCATTGTCGCAATGGTCGCATGTAGCGCTGTCTCTCATTCCGATGCGGCAGGCAAAAGCGTTCGTGAAAGACACCCCAAGCCACATACGGCAGAGAAGGGTCGTCTCGGATCGGGGTAGGCCAGATGGAATAGTAAGTCGTAGGCATGGGTCCAGGCGGTGAAGACGGGTGTGGAGAAAACCGGGCGTATTCCGCATAGACCTTGCGACATCCTGCGCAAGCGTATTAATCTTTGCTGCTGCGTCGCTTCTTGATAGTGGAATAGGTTCCATCACTCCATTTTCGTGAGCGTTCTTAGCTGCTTTGTCGGCATGCTCGTTACCGATGATGCCGCAATGGCCTGGTAACCACTGAAAAGATATGTCATGTCCTTCGTCTATTAGGTGATGGTACAGTTGTCGTATTTCGAGCGCCAATTGATCTTGAGGTCCACGACGTAGAGTATTGTGTAGACATTGGAGAGCTGGTTTCGAATCAGTAAAAATGCTCCATTTTTGTGGTGTCTCTTGGTCAATCCTGCGGAGTGCGCTGCGGAGTGCCGCGAGCTCCACGGCTGTCGATGTCGTCTTGTGTGACGTTCTGAACTGGATGGTTTCGGCTCTTGCTGGGAAGATCACAGCTCCTGCAGATCCTCCAACAGTTGTCGAGCCATCCGTGTAAAGTTTGACATGATCTTTGTATTCTTCGTGTAGCATGAGTAGAATCATCTGCTTTAAAGCTGGCGCCGAGAGCTCCGCCTTCTTGTGAATCCCCGGCACTGTCAAGCGCAGTTTTGGTCGGTCCAAGCACCAAGGAGGTGTTAGTATCCGTTCCGGAGGTGTGTAGACTGTTGGAAGGCACTCACGGAAAGTCAATACTCTCTTACAGAAGGAGGCACTCGGTCGATCTTCTGGAAGCGAAGCTAGGTGGTGGGCAGGGGCGCGAGCAAGGTGTCTAATATGAGCTCTAAGCACCTCCAAAGTAATGTGCACTGTGGCCGGATGATCTTTGGCGATTGCGATGGTTTCCGCTGTTGATGTACAGCGTGGTAATCCAAGACAAACTCTGAGTGCCTGGCCCTGGGCGTTTTCTATTGTGCGTATACTGCTTTTGCAAGCGTTCGTCAGAACCGGCAAGCTATACCGCAGGTACCCCAGAAACAGCGTTTTGTACAAATGCAACATCGCGTGCACTGATGTGCCCCACGTTTTGCCTCCGAGGAACTTGAAAAGTTGTGCGATGGCCGTTAGGCGCTTCTTTAGAGTGGCCACATGGGGACTCCAGCAGAGATTTCGATCGATCGTGACCCCCAAAAACCTGTGGGTCCTGGCGTAGCAGACACTGTGTCCATTGATGGCGATGGGATATGACGTCATTGCCTTCCGCGTGAACGCGACCAGCGCCGATTTCTCAGGAGAAATCTCGAGGCCTTGTTCTCTAAGGTACGCCGATATTGAATTCGCTGCTTTCTGGAGTCTCGCACGTACCTGAGGACGTGTTACACCTGATGTCCAGGCACAAATATCATCTGCATAGAGAGATATCTGCACGGAATCTGGTAGGCGTTCAACGAGACCGATCAGAACCAGGTTGAACAGTGTGGGGCTCAATACACCACCTTGAGGAACACCACGGTGTGTATAATGTTCAGAAGTCGGCCCATCATCAGTTTGCATAAACAATGATCTCATATGTAGGTAGCATTGGATCCAGCGGTACACTCGCCCACCCAAACCAACTGACTCGAGGGCGTCAAGTATGGCTTCGTGAGAAACATTGTCATATGCTCCTTTGACATCTAAAAATAGTGCGACAGATAACCGTCTGCTCATTTTCTGGTGTTGTACGTAGGTCACCAGGTCAATGACATTGTCAATGGAGCTCCGAAGACGACGAAAACCGGCCATGGCGTCTGGATATATTCTATGGCGTTCTAGGAACCACTCGAGTCTGGCAAGGATCATTCGCTCCATCAGCTTCCCTACGCAACTAGCCAGCGCTATTGGGCGGTATGATGTCAGCTCTAGAGGCGATTTTCCAGGTTTGAGAAGTGCAACCAACCGGCTTGTTTTCCACTCTCTGGGGACCGTTCCATCTCTCCAAGACTCATTGAATACTTCCAGCAAAGCACTTCGTGCTCGATCACCGAGATTGCATAATAGGCGGTATGATATGCCATCCGGCCCAGGCGATGACAATCGATTGCATGAAGCAAGAGCCACATTCAGTTCTTCCATTGAAAAAGGCAGGTCCAGGTGCGGGTCAAGTGAATGTGGCGTGTAATCAGCAGTAAGGGCTTCTGTGCAATTTGGTGGGCCCGCAATCTTCCTACAAAAATCTTCCGCTACCTCGATATCCCTTCTATTTTGGAAAAGGGCCAAGGCTTTAAACGGAAAACGTTGTTGGGGAAATGTGCGTAGGCCTCGCACGGTTCGCCATATTTGAGAAAGCGGTTTGCGAGGGTCTAGACTCGCGCAAAATTTCGCCCACCGTTGAAACTCCAGTTTGTCTATACGACGCTGGATCTTCTTTTGCATGCGCCTGGCCATCCGTAGATCTTGAATGGATTTTGTGCGTCGATATCTACGCTCCGCACGCCGACGAGTCGCACGGAGTCGCTCTAACTCCATGTCCGTTTCTGAGGGCCTTGAAGAATATGCCAGCGTGCGCATCGCACTCTGCGCTGCTTGTTTGATCGCTTGCTCAATGCCAGAGGTTAAGCCTTTTTCACAAGCGTGTTCAATGTTGGTTGTGAATGCTGAAAGATCGATCTTCCGTACGGTTTTCGGCGGGTGGTCGCTAGCAAAGCCTTCGATGGTGAGATAACTGGGGATGTGATCGCTACCATGTGTCTCGATGTCTAAAAACCACTTAACGCTTGTGGCGAAGCGACGTGACACGAACGTCAAGTCCAAACAGCTGCTGTACGTTGATCCTCGCAGAAATGTAGGGCTCCCATCATTAAGTAGAGACAGTTCATGAGTCGATACAAATGAAGCCAGCCTCCGGCCCGTGGTATTGACTTTTGAACTTCCCCAGATTGGGTGGTGGGCGTTGAAGTCCCCTATAATTATCCACGGATCCGGGACGCTCGAAAGAATGTCATCCAGTCTTTGGCAATCAAAACGGGCTGAGGGAGATAAGTAGACACCTATTATAGTGAAGGTGAGGGTTTTCTGCTTCACAGTCAGGCAAACATATTGGTTCTCATCGTGAGGCGACACAGGTTGAATGATGTAGGTAAGCTCCCGACGAATATACACAATGACCTTGCTGCTTTCGTTTCGGGTTTTGGACGGGATTGATTCGTAGCCAGATAGCCTGATCGGGTTTGATAATTTCGGTTCACATATTACGATGATTGGGAAAAGGTTAGAAAACACGTACTGACGAAAATCGGAAATCCGTGATCTAAGTCCTCTTGCGTTCCACTGGATGACTGATGCTTCTCTGACGTCTTTGCGGAACGATTGTTGATCTCCTGCCATGACTCTACGCGAGGGAGGCGAGGACTGGGCTCAGCGCGTCCAACACC